GACTAACCACTGTCTTACTAACCAGTGTTTGTCCATTGCAGTCTATATACAGAATTTTTTCGTGTATTTAACAAAACAATCTTATACTCACGATTGTAATCCGAGATAGGGTAGTCAATGATATTTAAAACTATCGCTATTATGACACATTATTTATTTTATCAATTTCATACGACAACTCATTCTGAGTTCCATATAAAACACTTTTTTGGTAATATAGTTTTACAGTTACGTATAATTCTAAAATAAACTTCTTTAAAGTAAATCTGGCCTATGTGAAACGTTGATACTAGTTGTTTTATGCTATGGACAAAATTACATCGAATTTAATTAGTCATTGTAGAAATATTCTATAGTAGTACGTTTTGTAAAGAGGTCGGGAGAAACTTCAAAATCATAACAATACTATTTACATATCAATACATTTTGTAAACACCATGCAGTAATCTAATTCCACAAAGTGAGTGTTCACAGTACAAAATCTTACAACATTCTATTCCGTATGGCCGGAAAAATATATGCAACAAATCTTTAATTGTCGTTATTTTCACATACAAGTGCTATAGTAAAAAATAAGCATTGAAACTGCTACCGATGTTAGTATCTCTTTTATAGTTTATTCTGAAGATAATATAATAAATATATTCATGTCAAAATTAATTGAATTTAAATTCGTTATGCGTTACGTTATTAAGGTAAAAAACAAACAGACAGACACTTTCGAATTTATAATAAGTACTAATTACATACTAATTTTCGTAGTCTATTTCCGTTACTTATCTTATTGCTTCTTCTGTGGCGAAATACACTCATAACATGCCAATAATCCTTCCTCAGCATCTGAGCAGAAAGCTGTATTTTGATAAAAATATTTGGGGATTAACTACTCTATGGATTATAGTCTTGAGTATACATTTTTATTACTATTTTATATACATAACATCATTTTATAATATTCAATGTGCGATTATGCTTAAAATAAAACTATAGTCATTCCATTGTGTAGTTTACTGTAGCGTGTGCTTCTTCTTTCTTTAATCTATGACTAAACCTCTATATCTGAAATAACTTTCGTTTTCTTACTAATTTACGTATATACACATATACAGATTATAATTACAACGTATAATCCTCATTAAATAATTTTGTAAACCAAGTAAAACTTGGTACCAAAGGTAGAGTAAATGCTATAAGCATTCCTTCCTTTTGGTAGTTCACGGAAGTTGTACTTATAATTAAATTAATATAATGAGTATTATATAATAATACGTAGTTATATTTAGGTTATTTAGTTAGGTATTCAACAATTTGTATTCGAATTACTTGAAGATTAACTATTGCATCAATATGGCGCACCTGATAATTTGGAAGTACTTATAATCTTGTCTGATATTTACAAATGTTTTATAAGACATGATTCTAGTGCCTGTATTTTTGACAGGCTAATCTGGTTCAGTAACATATTAGTGGGATGAATCTGGTTAGCCTGTCCAAGCCACAGGCCGTGGGTTAGTAAGTAGCGTTAGTAAGTCTTAATATAATCATCAATGTTCTGTGTGTTTGTCTGTAATATAGAATATACAACGTATAACGTAAACGGTATACCGATTCCATTAACCGATGTTAGTATTAACGAATTTACATTTACTAATTTCCAGTTCATTAAGAACTCACATATAATCTTTAGATTTAATCTTGTATGTCTATTGTTTAATATTTTGATTAGCAAGTACCTACATGTATTTGTTAATATATTATTATATTAATTCTAATTATCATTATAAGTTAATTTCCTGTATTGTTATTTTGTAGGGTATTATTTGCCAAACATTAACCTATATTCAGTATTATTAATTTAGTTATTTTTATATTTTTTAATTAATATTAATTTAGTAAACTTTTGAGTTATAATTTTAATCAATTACTTATTTTGTTTACTTCATATAATATAATGAATCTCAAACTAAATTTCAGAAAGATATTAATTAAATAATTTTTTTATGTATTAAAAATTATTTACTAGCCAATTAATAAAAGCAGGAAACATATTTTGTTATCTTCAGTATTTGATATTTACATGCTGTAGATTATGTTTATTGGTGAAGTATGTTTGCAGACTAGTCACGTAGATTTATCAAAATTTTAAATAGAAATAACTGGAAAATATATGATCTGTCTACCTGCGAATTTATCATCACATATATGAATAGTGATACAACCGTATAAAATATTGATTTTATTTGGATTATTATTACGAAATTAATTTTTAATAATAAATTATTTCACGTTTTTGTAATGTTTCGAAGTATTTGATGTATCAACGATTTCTTTGATCTCTATATTGGTTTACATAGTTGTGTCCGAGAGGAAATTATTCACTAGCCATTTATGTCAACTTTATTGTATTCGATCTTTGCATTTTATAATTATTAGATATAAGCATTCGTGTATTTAGGTAATAATGATATGTAATGGACTAATGTTAGGACTATGTGTTTAATATATATCCGGCAGAAATATTGTGGTTTTATTATATTTTGTTATTATCCCCAACCGCTTCTTTGATGGGATATGTTCGTTATTATGATACAGTCTATAATCTCGTGTCAATTTCCATTCAAATCTGTTTAGTCGTTCGAACAATTGGTACTACCAAACCGACAAACAGACACACTCTTGTATTTATAATATTAGTATAGAAGTATAGATTCTAAATCATTAATCATAGCAACAGAGAATCTACTTCCAATGATCGCCAATTCGATTCCGCGCATTATACAAACATTAATCTATATTTGTATTGGTCTAAGTATTTTCTATGTACTTCCTCTGGCGTATACTTGTGGAATGAATTACTTGCCAAGGTTATTCTCGAGAGATTACAGTATAGTAGTATTTCAAGAAGTGTATATTAATGTTTCTTAAGAGTCGGCGACATGACACCCCTCGGTTACTGTCGTCCATATGGTACAGTAACCCTGTAACCATCAGATTGGCCGTATATTAATTTGCCACCATTGTAAAATAAAAAATGAATGTAATTACAAAAAAATGTATCTAAGTAATTCTGTTAGTTGTATAGTAACCATAACACAATGTCTGCTTAGTTTAGGTCATATGGGGCGTGAGGTCGGACAACCTCCTCGTATGTTCCAGCCATTGGGAGGCTTCCCCATCCTCGTGGATACGTCCGCGGGGAACGGTGGCCGAGCAATGATTTGGTTCTGGTACGCCCCGGGCGGGATAGTAGTAGTTCCTTCGGGATATTGCTACTATGTTGGCCGATTGTCCGGCGAGTAGGGGGTGGGCGCTGTTTAACGGCGCCCGTCCAATTAAGGTGGCGTGCCACCTAGGCCGATTTCGGCAAGAAGGCGACGCGAGCGACTAGGACAATGGGTCCTGATCCTAGTCGGGACCCGTCCAAGCCGTGGGCGAAGCTTTCGGGTCGGGTCCGGTAGTGCCTTGCGCATGACCGGACTGACTCCACACCGCAAACTTGCTCTGGGTGTTGATGAAAAAGAAGGCGACGCGAGCGGCTAGGACAATGGGTCCTGATCCTAGCCGGGACCCGTCCAAGCCGTGGGCGAAGCTTTCGGGTCGGGTCCGGTAGTGCCTTGCGCATGACCGGACTGACTCCACACCGCAAACTTGTTCACCTAGTGTGAGAACGGGGGCCCTGGGTTCGCTCGGGGCTGCGAGGAGACAACCTCTATAAAAATCCGCTTGCCGTCGACGTCGGGGTTTCCCTGACAAAGACGGCGAGTGTACCATCATACCGTAAACTTGCACAGGGTGTTGATGAAGGAGATCGTCCACCTAGTGGAGAACGGGGGCCCTGGGTTCGCTCGGGGCTGCGAGGAGTCAACCTCTATAAAAATATTTTTTGGATGTCGGCGCGGGAGGATCGTTTGGCGCTGTCGTGCTTACGGAGGATACTGTCCCGGAGACGCTTTGCAAGTCTGGGTAAGTATGCACGTGTGGGTAAGTATGCACGTGTGGGTAAGTATGTCGCCCCAACCCGTCGGAGCACCGGGCGGAGCGGACCTTTAGGACCGCTTCCGTCCGGAAGCTGGAAGCGGTCCTAAAGGTACCGCTCCGCCCGGTGCCCCGACGGGTCGGGGCTATACGCGGTCGCGGCTGTGGTGCGCAGCGCAACGCAGCGGCGATCGCGGCCTTTGCGTGGGGGGCGGAAGGTGTGTTTTCCACTCGAAGCCCCAACTTGGACACTCGGAGCGGAGGATGTAGGGGCATCCGAAGTTTCCAGGAGGCGAGTGATCCGTGGAGTTTGGGCGCGGAGTGGTCCCCGCGCCCAACTTCGGCGGCTCCTTCACTGGAGACCCGCGGCCGGAGTGCGGTCGAATGCAAATGCCCGCACGAAGGCGTCTTTCGTGGTTTTCGGAGGAACACCGGGGGGTTTTGGTGGGTCGGGTCCCACAGTATTCGTCCGCACCCCTTCATAAAGGCGGACGTTTCGGTATTGGAACCTTTCCCCTCGTAAAAAAAAAAAATTCTAAAGGTTTGCTGTAAATTGCCCTGGGTTATTATTATAACATTAATAAGCTTTCAGCCTGGAATTCAGTTATCAATAAACACTGCATGTATTCCAGTGGTTTGAGGTATTATAAAATCTTAATGCGTATAAACGCAAAAGGTTGTGAGAATGGACGTTTGTTATTCCTTCACGCAAAAACTACTGAAACGATTTTGATGAAACTTTACAGTAATATAGTTTATACATCAGCATAACACATAGCTATATTTTTTATTGAAATTTGACGCGGGTAAAACCGCAGGCATATCCAGTAAATAATAAATAAGTACAATTTATAACTATTTATTTTTTATTATACTTTATTATACAGTTTTAATTATTAACCTATATACATCTCAAATACAAATGTACCTATAATCATTTATATTTTCGTTCACTCCATTCACACCATATTTCAAATAACTCATTAATTTCTTATCAATATCATGATTTTATATGTATATCCTATAGACATATAAAATCATGATCTAGGTACAACCAGTGCTTTAAACGGTGCAGCTGATGGAGTTGCCCCATCAACATGGTACAGAGATGGTAAAGGTTCCCCAGGGACGGGTAAGAAGGAGAACCTTTGCAGGATTGTGGTGGTGAATATGAATATGTTACACTTGGCTAGCACGTCTCCCAAACAACGGTGTTTGAAGATCCCGAATGGAAAATAATGGTCAGGTAGCTTCACAGCGCCGTCTACTATGAACCGCTCAGGTTTGAATGAGTAAGGGTCAGGGTATAATTCCTCATCCATGAGTATGTTGGTGAAGTTGCTTACGACCATTGTGTCCTGGAACAATTAATAGCTTATTAATAAAAGATGAGGTGGGTGGTCTATTAGTTTAGCACACCACATTACTTCCGATGGTCGCGGGTTCGATTCCTCGCACGATACAAACATATTATACGTATGACTTGTATCGGTGTAGGTATTTTCTATGTAGTATTGTAGGTATTTTATATGTATTTCCAAGAAAAAGTATCTTAGAAATAGAAATAATCTTTATTAAAATAAACTTAATATAAGCACTTTTGAATAGTTAAAATTTTCGATTCTATCGCTCATTCGGAATACAGACTCATCACAAGAAGAATGAGCAAGAAACTCGTATGTTGCTCTTTTAAATAAATATTGATTTAATTATATTTACATTAACAAGGATTAGGCATGCGACAATCAATATAGAAACCGCTACGCACTTAATCTCTGTTCAATCAGATAACATTGTCAGCGCTATTTTAAGTTAGATATTTTCTACAAAAACATTGTCATTTATTAATTCTTCAATTTATAAGCTTTTTTACAAAGAAAATATCTATATTGCAGTTTAGTACTCTTCGGACTTCGTCGGCTCGCGGGACTGTAGTCCGCGAGCAATGCTGCGGGGCTCGGATAGAGAGGGTTCGTTTAGCACCGCACCAGCCAGCACTCACTTCTGATCTCGCCACCGAATACGACATGCACGCTCATTATTCCATTCAGTTCTCTGTATTACTTATTTTAATTATTATACCAAGTTACAGTATTCAAAAGTATTTAATTTAAAAGTCCTTAGTGTAGGACCCTACAGTACCCATAATCAAGCTCTGCTTAATTTGGAAACAAATGGCGCTGAGTGAATTGTCTAGGTATATTTTTTTGTCTATCATTTTTTTATTGGATTGTTTGGGCTATTGTCAGATGTGTAGCACCTGTAGCACTGCGACCTACATAGATCTATTGTGCTCGCCCTTTTCAGAGTTCGCTACCTAGACCCGTCAGGGACAAGAATTGAAGGATATTCTTAGGAGCGATCGTTTTTATCTCCTCGGGAAAGAGTGTAAATTTGTAAATTGTCTATCATACTAACTTTACTGTGGTGTTAAACATGGATACCATACAAATATAATAGCGTATCACTAACTGCTCTGATACGGCTTTACAGATTTTTATGAAATTTTATGTACATATCAGGTAGATCTGAGAATCGGCCGAAATCTATTTTTCATACCTCTTAATGATAAGGGTTGTCACCCTTATCCCCTAAATGATATACGATTAGGCATTAAATAAATACATACAATCTTAAATTTTTACCCTTCTACCACCAACCCCTATTTATAAAAGCGATATTAGTACTTAAATTAGAGATAAATATAGAGAAACCTATTGCCGGGACAGCTAGTTATTAAATATATATATCTTACTTCGGGTATATCGTAGCCAGCCAATTTGGTGTTCTTCATGGCTCGGTGTGGTACGCCGAAGGTCCTCCCCATAAAATGCCGCACACACTCATGTACGATTGCAGTGCAGTATGGCATACTGAAATAATATGAAAATTATTTCAGCACCATGGTTTCAGTCTATAGAAAATACAAAAAAAAAATAGTAGGAATACAGAGATGTATACGAACAATTGTCAAGAAGTGTAAACCATAATAGAATTATAAATTTAAATATATACTTTACTATATATATACATTTCTGATTAACCAGTACAATAACGACACTATTGTGGTTATTAAATGGAGCGGCAAAAGATATGAAAAGTAAAAAAACAAGTTAGTCCTAACTAATAACTACATACAAAAGATATGAGTACCATATTGTTTGTGTGTAAAAGAGTCTGTCTAGATACGATTTGATACCAAATCGTTGGGGAAACCTATCAAGCATTAAAAGCGTCAGATATTAAAAATATATTCATATTACAAAAACGTGCCATTCGAGCGATCTACTGTACTGTATGAAGAGTCGTGACTCATTAAGACAGAAATTCAAAGAGGCAAATATTCTCACCGTTGCTTCTCAATTTATATATTCAAATATCCTATATGTTCATAAAAATCTTGACTTATTTCCAAAAAACAGGAATATTCATAATATTATACCTACTAGATTTAAGGACAAATTTGCTGTCCCCAAGTATCCTTTTATGGAAATAGGTATAAAAATTTACAATAAGATACCAAAGGATATATTGGAATTAAGCTTAAATAAATTCAAAATATCTGTTAAATCACATTTACTGAGCAAAGCCTATTATGTACTCACTAAACGATTACTTGAATGATGAGCGTGCATGGCAATAGTTGTTCATACGCCTATATAATTTATATAGGTGTATATTTATACATTGTAAACAAACTTAAAAAAAGTAATTCAATTGAGTTTTTTGCCAGTTCTTCTCAATTGGATCTATATACCATACTGGACGGTAGTGAAAAAAATAAAATTTTAAGCGGCTAAATAAATGAATTTGAATTTACTCACTTGTCTCGATCGTCTAGATTTGGCGGTCTATCTCGTCCTACTATCCTGTCAATTTCCTCTTGAGCTTTCTTCTGTACCTCTTGTTCTCTTACCAAGTAGCTGAACCCGAAACTCATACTCTTGCTGGTCGTCTCAGTTCCAGCCATAAACATATCCATGCACATGGCCACCAACTGACCCTCGGAGTACGTGTCTATCTCACCATTTTCTCTCAAAACCCTAATATAAACGTCCATGAAATCCTTATCTTCCTTTTCAGGGTCAAATCGCTCCTTGTGTCTGCCTATCTCTTCCCTTAAAAATGCCCAAATTTTTTTGTGAGTCTTAATAAAGTCCTTGTAACCTGATAATTTAGGAGCAATCACGCTCAGAATCGGAAAGTGGCTGAATGTAGCGCCTACCATATCGATAGCTGCGAATAATTCAAACAATAGATCCTGTAATACTCTCATTTCAGGTTCATTTGGATTATATCTGATCCCTGCCATCATAGTCCAAAGAGTATTTAAAATGTAAGTGTTAAAGAAATTGTGCATCTGTATGGTTGCTGTTTTATCGTTGTTTATAGTGCTAAGGACATCAGTAATCATGTGACTAGCTTCATAACACGCTATATCGCCCATACCACGTTTTCCAAAGCCAAACTCCTTCAAATGTTTAAGAAGGAATCTTCTCTGCTCTTTCCATAACTCTCCGTCAGTTAAAAGAACTCCTCTTCGTTCCCCCCAAGTTCTGGTCTGATAGAAAATTCCTTTTGGTCTTCCGTCGATGTCTTCATTTGCAAGCATCTCTTTATTAGCCTCTAGACTGTTTACCATGACGATTCTATCTTTGCCGATCCTAAGAGCAATTAATGGACTGTTTTTGCAATACAATGTAGAGAGTTCTTTCACAGCTTTGTAAAGGTAGCCGGTTTTCTCCCTAAGTTTAGAGACTTCTATTGCGCTGCCGAAAATTGGTATCCATTTGGGGCCAGGTGGAAAGTTCCTAGGTTTGATAGTATTTAAATATAACAGTAAGCAGATTACTAGCGCGACGGCTAGCACTGCCAGCCACATCTGGAAGGAAGGAAAATAAGTTTAAATTAATTTTGGGTTATTTTACCTTTATTAAATATAGCGTAAAAAATTATTAATTTTGTATTATAACATCTAAAAATTTAGAACGCAGCGATGTTGTTACATGCGACTTTACGTAAGTAGTAACTGAAAACAAATTGAGTGTCTCCCTGAGCAAAAAATGCACTGAGTAAAAATGTATCTCTTTACTTCACTGTGGTACACATATAAGGAAACAAGAAAGGAAGTTCACAAATGAAATTTTGTATATGTAGGCTAACAACCGCCTTGCATTACCTAGCCATATAACGCAGATACATTTACTAAAAAGTATATTGTCTAAATGTCAAATAGATTCGCTTGCAAATTTCTGATTTAAAAAATTGTTACATTAATTAGGTATTATTTGTTATTTCAATTCTGATATTATATACACCGTCATTTATTAAATCTTTTATTACTATTATCACTCCTTCTGTTATCAACACGCCAACCTTACCATCATCATCTGCTTCTTCCTTATCCCATTTATTTGGGGTCGGCGTAATATGCTTTTCGCTTCCATTCATCCCTGTTCGCAGTCATTGGGTTATTTACTTCTTTTCTTACCATATCATCTTTCACACAGTCCATCCATCTCTTTTTCGGACTTCCTCTACCCTTATAACCATCCACATTCATATGTAACACCTTTCTTAAAATATTATCCACGCCAACCTTACCACATATATTGTAATTGTTTCTTCTTTTTTATATGCTCAGCTTTTTTGTAATTTATACTGTGTTGTAAAATCTGCGTGTTTGTTGATGTAAATGCAGTAAATATCTATCTATATAAATTTGTTAGTCTATTATTGACAGTAAATAATATAGATATTAATGAATTAAAAAATTATCCTGAAGAAATTTTATAAAAAAAAATTGGAAATGAAGTAACAAAAAGTATCTTAAAAAGTTTAACAACAAAAAAAATATCTCCCTTTCTATTTATTATTTGCGACTCTGTACAGTGCCATCTGTATTTGTAATTACTTAATAAGTTATAGGTATTAACTGAGTACTAACTGTTTCGGAAAACGGTGCTTTCATTCCTACTAACTGCATTAGCTGACTTTCCATACGATGCTTTCCACAGTACTGCCATCTAGCATGCATACATTAACATAAATTTCTTTACAGCGCCATCTATTACATAATTGTAGAACTAACTACAACCCTTTCTTCTACAAAAATAAAATTCGACTTCGTAATAAAAAAATCCAGGGTTGTCACTCACCGCGATAAAACTTATTTCGGATTTTAATGCTCGTACCGTGTTTCCTTAAAGATTTGTAAAAATAATTAAAGTCTATGGAGTTTATCATGTGTTTCCAGAATAAAAAACCAGTAAATTTGGATATAAGTTGGGTTGCAAAACATATCACGACGAACTCAAATTGTGTATCAATGGAAATATAAATAATATATGTCAATATACATCTTTGGTATTAATAATAATTACTCAGGACAATTCAAACATCTTTCTAGTTCCAAGCTAAGCAGAACTTGTATTATGGGTACTAGTCGACTGAAAAACACATTTTTTATATACCATACATAGAAAACTCCCAGGCCGATACAAGTAAACATACATATGAATACATATGTTTGTAACCTGTGAGGAATCAAACCTGCGACCATTGTAAGAGGAAGAGATAAGCCACTAAACCACAGAGAGCATCATTAACTATATGTTTATCTTTATAGAAAACGTTTAGAATGCAAATGCAGCTACTAAAAATGGTTAATAATTTTCCCTGTTGCAAAATTTTCTCTAAACCATTGCGAACTACATTACTAAGATTTTAATTGATTAATCAATAAGGTAGGAAATTACGTGGCAAACGGGTACAATTGGCGCGTAACATTACGTGCGGTTACGCGATCAGAGCGTCTCACGCGAAAATTTAGAAACACGTTAGTATAAAACATTTATGCAAACTGTACCCGACAAATTTAACAGCGTATAACAAAACAAGTTCATAAACAACAACCAATGAATTCTTTTACATTTATTACACTATTTTAGCGTGTATTTTATTGGAATTATATCATTCAAGAGAGATACAAGATTGTGCGGAGGAACGAGGATCAAGTCTTATGGAAAGTGTGTAATATGAATGTGGGTGGGGACGCCCTAAAAATATGGATGGATAGTGTGAAAGATGATATGAATAAAAGAAGAGTATGCTCAGATATGACGACCGATAGAGAGCAGTGGAAGAGAATGATATACTGCGCCGACCCCAAATAATGGGATAAAGGCAAGGCAATGATGAAGACAAGATTCAAAGAGACGAGAGACATTACTTGTCAATGATTTTACAGAAAACATTGACAAATAATTGTGTTAAAATTATTATACGCTAGCTGTATTTTGTAGAGACGTATAAATTCAATAAAAAAATGCTGTTTGTAAGTCTGAGATGTGGCTTATCTGTCTACTAAGTTAACTTCAATCCGTTCAGTAGTTTATGGATGTAAGATTAATAAACTTTGAAACATCAATTCTCCTAAACCCTCGTGCTATCAATATATACATATCATATCGGCATTCTAAAAAAATCAATTTTGGTGAAGATATCGATATGGTAAACATTACAAAGAACAGAATAGAATAAAATATTAATTTATAAAAGAATGTTTGAATAAAGAGTTAAAAATTAAATAATAAAGATTTTCTTGTCATAATCAATTTAAATACAAGACATATAGGGAGTGTATATACTAGTGTCTATACTCTTTAAATTTATCTTCTATTTACGATAGACCATAATATATAACCGTTAATATTTTTCTCTTACATAGGTATTAAGTCTATAAAATGTACTAAAAACACTCTAAAATATAATGACTTTCAAAAGACGGTAGAACATTGTATTTCAGTATGTGAAAGTTATGTATATCTTTACTTCACAGTATATCGTACATTTCTATGATTATTTTTATAGAGTACTAGAAAACTGCTCACTTTTGGTGCTCATAACATTTCAAGTTTTATATATGTATATATTTTTACAGCGCCGTGGTAGTAATCAATGTGAAACGAGCATGAAAGGGGCAGTATCGCAGTGAAACATAACAGGAAGTCTTAAGGAATGTAAACTAAGATGATATGGACATGTCTTGCGAAGCATATAAAGTACCTATGTTATTTAAAAGTGCCTTACCATATCTACAATGAAAAGATGGCGTGGTAAGCCACTATTTGACTGACGAATGTCCATGGACATGAAGGAGTTAGTCCTGTCTAATGATTATGCTTACCACCGAAACATATGGCTACTTGAAGTTTGGTAAAGAAGAAACGTAGACGAAGTAGAAGTGGTAATCAAGCATACGGCCCATCTGATGGAAACCGGATTCCGTCACTTGTGGTATACTGAAACACCAGAAGTGTCATATTCTCATAGTTCTTAAGAAATCCTAATATAGTCTTGTAAAACCTCACGCTGTTTTCTCTACACGAAATATATTAGCATAATATATATCCTAAACTGGAATTATATAATTTTCAGACAGTCAGAGAATATCTGAAATCGGTCCAGTGGTTCCGGAGTTTGCGTTCCTCTCAACAAAATCGGATCTCTGTCATTCTATTGATGTTAGTATAAATTTGAATCTAGTTTACTTCTGCACTTATTCACCCTTCCGCAGGTCCATCAAGCGGCAATGTAAACTCATTGCCAATTTTAAAGTACGCCACTATTAAAAATACTGTTAATTACTTGTTGATATGTAACACATACACATACACATACACACCTACATATGCATATGCAAACAAATAGGTATTAAATATACTTTAACACGGTTTGAAAAATACGCTTCAAAATTCTAACAGTATATATACATAATAATTCAGCTTCAGTGAACATTAATATGCAATATTAAATATTAAATTACAAAATAAACGTAACATTTAACAATTATTTTGGAGTGAAATGTGTAGATTAATTGTAGTTTTTCTTTTTTCAATCCTTGCTATAAGAAACCCACATAATTTTAACGATCCACGGTTTAGTTATCTCAAGAACAATTGAAATGTACAAATAATAAAGTTAATAAATTTATTGTGAAATATACGCTAACTAAAAAAACATTATTATTACGTACTATTTTTTGTACGTTTGGTTCCCATACTCCACAATTCCAATCGGTCATTCAAAGGTTAGCTGGAAGAATCCCGTCTTATGGGATAAGTCGGCTATTGTACAAATTTACTGTTTGTGTATACTAAATTTTATTGTACAATAAACTGTTACAAACAAAGAACCTAAAAAATGGTTATAAAGCTCAGATTATTAACAATAAACAAATTTTAATAGGCAGTTATTGGAACTTAAACATTCACACAAATACAAATATATGAAATATAGATAGACATATACAATTATACACACTCTAGGGGTATGTACCTCATCACATAAACATACTCGTCTCTACTGACAGTAATACCAGGCTACTCATTTGTACATTAGTCTAGCGGTTTAGCGCATCGCTAACTTTACATCCGATGGTTGGTTGATGGTTCAGTATGATTTTTCGTAACGGTCTGGATGTTTTCTTTATGTAATTATGTATATCTATATATTCCAAAAAGTATATATCTATTTACATATACAAGTTGTCTAGTACCTATAAAATAAACTCCTGTGTGAATTATTCTGGAATATTATGTTTAGAGATACCATTTATTGTTGATTATTGTCAACTCTTTGTATACTTTTATATATCGTAAATGCCAAAGAGCCACAACGCAGAAAAACTGAACCTATGTTTTTTTCCAAAAATGGTATCTAAATCGTTTAATTTTTATATTCAAGACACCCATGATTCTAGAGCTAACACATAGATACACCACTTATAGATTCGTAAAAAAAATACAGCGAAAATTTTATGAGCTCTCCTGTAAAAATTACCTAAGTTTGCGTTATGTGACCCTTTGGCATTTAATCAGC